CTCTGGAAAAATAAGGTAAAGTTACAGCCAGTTTGGTGCTTTGTAATCACCATAAAAGTTAATATACATTTGAGTCTAAGTCAGGACTGGATGTGCCTTTATCCTAAAACTAAGAGACACCATTCAGGTGTTTGTTATCTAAGATGTGATTTAGAATGTCATAACAGGCCACGTGAATATTTAATTTGTATGTCCAAAGGATAATTTTCTGAAGCTTGGGTCTGGGAGTGGTATCCATAAATAGTTAGGTTTTCTACTTTCTGACTTCGTTATCAACCTAAGTTTCCACCATAAGGTGAATTTAACACCTACTGCTTTGAGCTTTAATTATCTTGACCACTGTTTATCCGTTTGCACTAGTTTAAGGCATTTAGAGGACATTCATCTAGTAGATAAGGCAGTGTATCTTTCAAGGAAGACCTCTAATTTCTAAATAACAGATTTCCACCCTGGCAGTTTGAAACATGATATTTGTTCGATGTAAGCTTTACCTCACAAGAAAAAACCAACAGGTAGATTTGTTCAGTTGCCATCCCACGATTTTCTTTGCTGAGAAAGCGGGCAGGTTTGTGATATTCCTTACTAAAATCGAGATTAGTGCAACTGTGGTCTTCCAGGCACTGGATCAGCATTTTCTCTGTTCATTTTTATTACAAATACCATGTATGTTTGGGCCGAACCGTCTTGTCAGAATATTAGTTTTCACCATTCTCAGGTATGTGAGGCCTAGATCACCATTGTTTTCCTCAATTTTCTGTCCTTAGCGGAGTGTATTTCCTCTTAGGGGTTTTGTATAAAGGAAATTGGTGTCACCAGGTCTCTGAGTGGAGTGTTTTTGTCATGGAGCCCAGGGTTTGGGCAGAGAGAGTGGCAGCAGCTGACACTGGAAATGCAGGTGAGGTCATATGGTATTCTTTCAAGGAAAAGGCATTTTTCTTTCGTCCTATAGGTGATAGGGAGCCACTAAAGGGTTTTTTTTCAGCAGGGGAGCAATGCGATCATATTTAAGAATAGTCCCTCAGCAGACAGTGGGATCAAAGACAACGTCTTGAGCGGTGGCTAAGTACGGAGGCCTCTGTAATGGTCTGGACCCAGCATGATGACGTTGCTGCGGTTCGAAGGCTAGAAAAGAAGGGATGGAGTTGGGAGACAAACGTGTATCTTGCCTGCCTTCCAGGCATGTGGGGATCCAGCACTCAGGCAGTGGGCCTTCTCCTCTGGGAGGAGATGCTTCCTCTGTGAAGGCAACTTAGAGCTCAGTTTCCATGGTTGAACCTCCGTTTCGTGCTGCAGTCAGTTTTCCTTCTCGTGTACCCAGTTGCTCTCTACCACTTCCCTTTGCTCTCCTGCATGCACGTCTTGAATCAGCCAAGTGGGGAAAGGTCTGAAAGACCAGCTTTGTTTTTCTTCCAGCTTGTACTCTGAGCCCTGTTAGCCAACGGTGTTGGCGCTGCCTCGTAGAGATGGCTGGTCCCAAATGAAACAAATTCATTGGGAAATCCTACCGTCAGGCTGCATCTCCACACCCTGGGCTGTGCCTCTGCCCATTTCCTCCTGGTTCCTTTCATTCAGTGGCTCTGTCTCATCGAACACGAGAGCGTTCAGTGTGTCTTGGGGTTTTCTGCTTAGTGAGGCGCATCGCAGTTGGCTGGTATAGAAGCAGTAGCCTTGAGTCACCCCTTCTCTTGGCTTCCTAGAGATGCACACCTTGCCCCCAGGGAATGTCAACGCAGAATTCTTTTTCCTCTCCGGGCATGTTAACTGCAGCAATCCTTTCCACAGACTGCGGAGGCTTCACCGAAGGAATTGTCATGTGTGTGAAGGTGGTTTCTGTTTAAAAGGAAGGACAGTGGAGGTGTTTCTTTGAGCATTATCTGCTACCGAGTGAAAAGGAGTCTGCTTAAATTGGACTCTGTAGAAGGATAGATATTGGTAATTCCTCTTAGGTGCTTGGTGCCCCGGACATCAGAGCAGGAGTTAACTTTTAGTGTGAGGTCATCATTATTTGCACCACACCGGATGCTGGAGGAACAAATACTTTTAGCTGCCTTTGAGCACATTAAACATCCAGTCAGCCGCAGGACCACCCTGGAGCCCTGCAGAGCCCGAGGGCAAGCCAGCTTCTCTACATGCATCCTGACCCCAAGTAATTCAGGTCTGAAAGCTTCTTCCTAAGGAGCCGGTTGTCCTGGAGAAGCGAGTTGCTTGTCAAGCCTCCCCGTGTGGTTGAACTGTGCGGTGGCCAGAATCCTCTGGGAGACGTTTTTGGCCCATCTGCCTGTGAGTGTGACAGACGTGTCCGTCCGACAACTGGGTCACCTAATGAATAGAAATTCGGTTTACAAGGAGGGATTAAATATCTTCGTGTGGCCGGTGCCACCTCAGACTTCTTTGACAGAGCCAGGAGGAAAAAGGCGTTCAATGTTAAGAAAAGGCAAACGGGTTTCTGCTTTTAAGACTCAAGGTCACTTAAGCCAGGTGCCATGCCATGTGTGTGGGAGGTTTGGGGCCAGTGATCTCCCAGGCTTCAGATGGAAAGATTTCAACTTGAGGGGTCTTGTGACATGTGTTATCTCTGAAGCCTGAGTCAAAGGCCAGTTTGTTTTAGGTAATCTCAATTGACAAATATTTATTGAGTCCCCATGCAGTCTTAGAGGCCCAGGGAGCACACACAGGGCATTGAGGCCCTGCCTTCTCCAAGTGTGCTCTGCTGAGGGGCAACAATTTAAAATAACACTGAGGGCTTCCCTGGGGGCGCAGTGGTTGAGAATCCACCTGCCAATGCAGGGGACACGGGTTCAAGCCCTGGTCCGGGAAGATCCCATAGGCCGCAGAGCAACTAAACCTGTGAGCCGCAACTACTGAGCCTGTCCTCTAGAGGCCATGCGCCACAACTACTGAGCCTGCATGCCACAACTACTGAAGCCTGCGTGCCTATAGCCCATGCTCCGCAACAAGAGAAGCCACCTCAGTGAGAAGCCCGCACGCCGCAACTAGAGATAGCCCATACGCAGCAACGAAGACCCAACACAGCCCCCAAAATAAAATAAATAAAATTTTAAAATGTATATATAAAAAAAATAACACTGAGAGTTTGTCTTAAACTGTCCATAGGCTACAAAATCCAAAATAGTAGCTTGGAATGAGGGGACATGGAAGGACTTAAGAAGTCAGAGCCTGTTTTGTAGACAGGATTTGAGAGAAAGAACGACAGGGTCCTGCAGATGAGGTTCACAGGACAAAGTTTAATACAAGCAGGACGACAAACGAAACAGCCCAAGCAGTGTTTACTGAGCATGTACTATACGCCAGATACATAATTGTGGGTATTTGGGGTGGACTGAAGATGTATGAGGTGCAGTCCTCGCCCTCAAAGGAGCTGACTGCATACTGTGGCTCAGTGACGCTGATGGTGGGGCTGTGGAAACCAGGGCTCCTGATACGGTCGGTTCACAAGCTTGGGAAAACACCCGAGGCCTGGACTGGGGAGAGCCTTGGAGACCCGTGTCACGCAGAGTGGCCTCAGAGGGCGGAGTTAAGCTCTGACTGTTCTAGTAGGAAACTCCAGCACACTCTTGGCACAGGGTGGTCACTCAGTGCCTGCAGGCCAGGCCACTGGGAAACCAGTCCCTGATTAAAGTCTCAGTTCTCAGAATGTGCCGATGTGGCGGCTCACACAGAGTGGGCGCCCATACCTTCCCATCAGTTGTCCCCTGACACCTGGAGAACACGGACTCGGGTTTAGGATACTTCAGCCTCTCCAGCCAGCGGCCGAAACCTGAGGGCAGACGGTGTTGCTGTGATGGGGGGCGGGGCCAGCATCCTCCTAGGAAGGTTCCAGTCCCAGTGACAGCTGGAACAGAAGGCTTTAAAGGAAATCTAATGAAAGCCTCTGTAGTGAGGGAAACATTTTTTGTCATTCCTATTAGGAAGAGACATTCCATTTGATTTTTAAAAATAGGACAATAATGAGTGTTGCCTTTTTCCAAACACAGATGTTGTTTAGAAGCTGACAGATTGCTGTATTTGTTTCTGGGCTTTCATGAGATACTGGTGGTAAAATATCAATTTACTGAAACCATTTAAGAAAAAATTATGCATCTACTCGGCCTCCAATTCATGCGACTTGATCTCTTGGTAGGATTAGGTTGAATTGTAATACGAAAATTCTTACCGAAGAGCTAAGAAGCTGTGGAACTGGTCGACTTAGTGAATGATCCCTCTCCATATTCACTGTGTGATTTGCTGTTACCAAGTGCCAGGAATATAAAAAGAATGTGCTTGTGTGGGTTTATCTGCATTTGTCGTTAAGGCTCTGCTAAGCCCGTGAGCCCCAGACGCAGCTCACGGTGGGCTGTCACCCTGGTCCATGAGCCTCGCAGGCCCTGCTCCTCGAGAGGTATGGTGCTGGCATCTGCGTGCGTCTGGGCTGTGGCAGGAAGCCCTGTGACAGCCTGCCTGCCACCACGAGCTCCTGGCTGCGGTGATGCCTCTCTGAGTGTGGCCGGGCCTGCAAACATCCAAGGGACCTTGACGGATCCTTGGGTAGTGATTTTGCCCAAGCACCCTAATACACCCCCAAGAAAGTCTTAAATGATTTGAATGTCTTGTAGCTTTTCCAGTAAAGGGGCCTCACGGTGACTCTGTGACAACAGGAATGCTTAACATGGTTCCAACTAGCACTGGGGGGCCCTGGAACTCAGACAGGTTTAGTGGGATGTAAGGGGATAAGCCCGTGATAGGCACTTCGGCCTCTGAGCTGTCTTCATGTTACTGAGTTAGGTTCTGTAGGCTTCCCTCGGGGGCATTTGTCTGTGATCCGCCCTTGACGTAATATGAGTTGTCAGGGTGTCCTAAGGAGGGGTAGGGCTGGAAATGTGGGTTCCAAGGAACAGGGGATTGGGACGGGTAGTCGCTGAGATGTAAGCCTGCACAATGAATTGAATAAGCTCATTTCCTAATTTCTCATCATCCTGAATCCCTTCTCTCTCCTTTCTCAGCGGGCAGAGCTGACATCTGATAAAGACATGTACCTTGACAACAGCTCCATTGAAGGCTCAGGAGTATATCCTATTGATGACGATGACTATGCTTCTGCATCAGGCTCGGGTAAGGCAGGCTACGTCCACACTCACCTCTGTTCTCTGTGCTTGTGTAAGCATGTGCATGCGCGCGCGCACACACACACACACAATAGTGGAACTTACTTCGAGGGGACAGGCAGTATGCACGATGGTTAAGAGCATGCTCTGTGGAGTCACAGCATCTGGGTGTGAATTCTAGCTCCCTGCCACTTGAGCTGTGAGATCTTGGGAATGTATTTAACTTGGCTGAACCTCAGTTTCCTCATTTATAGAATGGAAGGTAATAATAGTCCCTCCCACATAGGTTCGTCGTGAGGCTTAAGGGGTTGACACATCTGTAGCTCTTAGAGTATGCTGCTTGGCATGTAGTCAGTGTTCTGTCAACATTAGCTTTTAATTTTATTATTAAGGCTTTCAGAGCGATGTCATGGAAACCACCCTTAAAGAGATCCCTGAGACACTGCTTTCATACAGCTGCCAACCCTACCTTAAAGATGATAGGTGAGACCAAGGAGAGTTATACTTTCTTACTCCTAGTGTATTGCTCAAACGCAGGAGGGAGAACGTAGTAGCCAGGTAAAATGATTGTACAGTGATATCCTCAGCTCCAGTGGTGTATCAGTTATCTATCACCGCAGTAATGACTCGTAACAAACCACCCCGAAGTGTAGTGGCTGAAAACAACAGTCATTTTATTTAGCTGATTACTCTGCAGGGTGGCAATTTAGGCTGGCCTGACTGGGCTCCCTCACATGTCAGTGGTCAGTTGCAGGTTGGGTTTGCAGCTTTGGTGATCTTTCTGGATTCTGTCATGTCTCTGGGGCAGTGGGGCAGACTTGGCTCTCTGGTCATGCGGTCTCTCGTCCTCCAGAAGGCCAGCCATTTGTCCACAGGGAGGAGGCAGAGATCCCAAAACAGCAAGCAGGAGTGAGCAGAATCTTTTAAAGCCAAGGCTTAAAACTGGCACAATTTCACTACCATATTTGATGGGTCAGAGCCAGTTATAAGGCCAGGCCAGAGTCCGCCTCTTACGAAAAGAGCTGCAGGGCCACATTGCAGAGGATGTGGATACAAGGGGGAATAAAGGATTTGGCCAATTTTGCAGTCTACCATACCTGGGAAATGTTTCACCTGTGCCAGGATTGGCCCCCAGGTAGCAGAGAAAGAAGAGCTTGTGCCTATGTTAATGATCCAGTCAGGAACTCAAAGTCAGCAGCATGCTAGGCAAGTCTTATCCAGGATCTTCCTTGATCTGAGTTTTCATTTTATGTTCAACATTTGGTAAAAGTTACGCTGAATGTCGATGTCTCACAATCAGATCGGCCTGGGCTTCAGAATGACCCAGAGGAAATTAAAATCAGTTGTGTCTTTGGGAGAGCTCTAGCTACATAAGAGTGAGTGTTTTAGGTTGGAAAACAGCAAGACTGAGAAAGACAAGAGAGGTGGTGGCTGACCTAGTAACAATGAGCTTACAATGCAGTCCTCATGTAAAAATAGCCCTCATGTAAAAATAGTTATTCTGGGGAAACGCACACGCAGGAAGAGTGTGAAAAGTTGTTCTCCGTAGTCCACAACTCTATTAATACCGTTCACTCATGGCACCTCTTTTTTTTCGTTAGCACCTCAAAAGTGCTTTGCAACTGTCTTCTTCAAAATGTCCCAGGAAATAATAAATATGGATACATTTTGGTCCCCATTTCACAGATCTTAGAATCTAAGAGTTGTTAGAGATTTGTGGAGGTTGTCCAAGTCATTTTGCTGATTTCTGCCAAGATTGTCCCTAAGTTTAATATAAAGGACTCAGGTTCAGTCCTGCTCCTCTGGCAGCACCTCCCCTCCCCCACTCCCCCCCATCCAGGTGAAAAGGGATTGGAGTGGGTCATTTGAAATCCTGAACCACTCATCAGACGGATCGAGCTGAGGCTTAAATGTGGGCCCGCATTGCTTCTGCCTTGGCTCCAGCCTTAGGCAGATCATTGCTAAAAAGAAGGGTATCATTCTGGGGCTTCCCTGGTGGCACAGTGGTTAACAATCCGCCTGCCAATGCAGGGAACACAGGTTTGAGCCCTGGTCCAGTAAGATCCCACATACTGCAGAACAACTAAGCCTCTGCGCCACAACTACTGAGCCTGCACTCTAGAGCCCGTGAGCCACAGCTACTGAGCCCGTGTGCTGCAACTACTGAAGCCCGTGCGCCTAGAGGCCGTGCTCCGCAGCAAGAGAAGCCATCGCAATGAGAAGCCCGCATACCGCAATGAAGAGTAGCCCCCGCTCACCGCAACTAGAGAAAGCCCGCGTGCAGCAATGAAAACCCAATGCAGCCAAAAATAAAATAAATTTTAAAAATAAATAAATTAATTTTTTTTTACAAAAAGAAGTGTATCATTCTGGATTTTGGAAACCTCCTTGCATTGCACTGGGGATGTTGATTTTCAGCTTAAAGGTAATAGAAGCTGTAACTAAAATTTGTAAAGCCCTTACTGCATGTCAGGCACTGTTCCTAGTCTTATAACATCTCTGTAAAGAGAGATTGTATTATCTCCGTTTTTCACATGAAAAAACCTGAGGCTCAGGGAGATTGAATAACTTGCCTCAGATCACACTGTTGGAAAGAAATGGAGCTGGGATAGGGGCCAGGGAGTTGGGCTTGAGAGTGTGTTCTCTTTCACTCCTTTGCTCTACTGCCTCCTTGTGTCTTAAAACTCTACTCCAGAATGAGGAGACCCTGCCTAGCTGATGCCCAGTCCCAGCTGGAGACTGGGATCCCCCGGGTTTTGGCCAGAGGGTTTCGTTCCCTCTGTCCTCACTCCCGTAATGCTATCCAGTGGAAGAGCAAGGGGACTGGAGGAAAATGGCCAGAGGCCTAGAGGGTGCTTCCCAGCTGAGAAGATGTTACCAGACTATATATGTGCACTCAGGGGTGGACATTGGCAGACATGAAAACCTCAACCATTCACTTAAATGTTTCATGGGCATTCACCGTGGACCAGACACTAGGCCATGTTCTTGGGACACAGATGAAAAACTAGGTCCTTGTCCTCAAGGAACCAAGAGTCTGATGAGAAAAATGTAGAAATGAGAAAAAAATAATTGTTATACCATGTCATGGGTATATAACATAAGAAGGTGCTATACAACAGAGATGTAAGAGTGAAGTGCAGAGTTCTGGTTAAATATGGCAGATTGAACACACATACCTTTCAATACGCAACTAAACCAACAATAAAGGAATTGGGCCTAAACTCACAAGGACAAACAAAACAGTACAGGAGACAAAGGCCATAATGTTTTGAAAGCTGGGAAGCAGATGGGCTAGTAGTAACAGGCTTGGCAGACGTGAGAAAGCTGAGTTAGCCAGTAGTGGGGGTGGGGAGAGCCAAGAGGCAACCACAGTAGAATCCCCGTAGGGCCCCAGAATTCATGACACTAGATGGAGCGTGAAAATGGTACTAAACTCAGGATGATTGGTTGAAAGTCTGTTCAGGATGCAGGTAGATTCCCTAATTCCTTCCCACCATAATGCAGCAAAGGGACTGATGCTCCCAACCTCAGGAGAAAACTGGAGGTTTATTATCTGGAGAAAATAAAACAGAGGGTCTTTGGACTGGGAGTGTACCAGGCACAGATGGGGCAAGGGACACCACACCGAAAACAGGAAATACAAGTTCTTAGATTAAGAGTTATTTAATGCGGAGGTATTCCCAGTTGTCTTCTCCCAGTCAGTTCCTGGAACACTGACGGGCTGGCCTTTACCCTCTCCAGGAAGTTGGACCAACTCAAAGGAAACAACTCCAAGATACTGGCAATGGCAATTTCTCCAGCAAAACACACAAGTCTATCTAACTGATGATGCTAACATTTGACAGACCTCTCCTGTGTGCTCAGAGCTTCTAGTCAGCGTCTCAGCCTTTCCTTCTTAAATACAAGAAGACAACCAAGGCTCACCAGACATTTACAGGACAACTTGTAACTTCTGAAAGATAGAGACCTTCCCACACCCCCAAATTGGAAGAGAACAGAAACTCACAGTAAGAGGAGAACTTACAGAAAAACTTATTACAGTTGGAGTGATAAGGCTCTTTAACGTTGAAACAAGAAGCGGATACTTTGAAAAAGGAACATTCTGAGAGCGCAAGAGTCCTTGGAGGGTGGAACAGTCATCTAAGAGATGAAAAACTCATTAGGAGATGAGATGATATGCAGATATTTATTCAATTCATTCCACAACTATTTAATAATGACCCATAACACGGGGGGACAGACACCATTCTAGGTGCTAGGAACACTTCAGTAAATACAATCTAGTGATGCTTTCTCTGGTGGTGGAATAATTTTATTTATTCCTTCCTGTATTTCTGTTTCCCAATATCATCCATGAAAAATGTATTTTTTAAAAACATGTATTCTTTTTATAAGTAGAAGAAAACGTTATTTTTTAAAAAAGAAGAGACTTAGTGAGCAGTGGAAACATAGAGAAAGAAACAGTTCCACGATGGATGGAAAGGGGATGACACTGATTCTGGGCGTAAAAGTGTAAGCAGGAGTTTCCCAGGTGGAAACGAGCTTTGGGCTCTGGGCTAGGATGTCTCAGGCAAAGCGGGCTGAAAGGGGTCCCCAGATTTCTGGTTTGGGCAGGAGGGTCAATCTTTTTAATAAAGATAATAAATGCAGTGGAAGAGCCCCTGAGGTGGGTGACTCACCTGTCTCTAATTTAAGAAGTGCCAACTTGAGGGAATTTTCTACTTTACAGAGTCTCTTCTCTCACAACAAATTCTCCACACTCCTAATTTGGCAGTTCGTATTTGTAACTCTTGTGAACCAAGGGAGTCTTGAAAGCCCTTAATTGAAAATTTTTCGTTTCTCATTGAATTTTTTTTTGTAAGAAGCAAATCAATCATATGTATAAAGCTTTGATGGAAAATTGGGGAGACTGATATGAAAGAGCAGTGTATTTGGAGCCATCGTTATTAATGACTTACATTTATGTAACATTTTATGTATACAGAATGCTTTCAAACATACATATTATGTTTGCACCTCTGAGACTTAGTTGTTGTTATCCCCATTTTACAGGTGAAGAAACTGACTCAAGCGTTATTTGCCCAAGGTCACAGAGATGATAAATGCCAGAATCAGTACTAAGTTTGTTTAATGCCAAATCCAATATTTATTCCAATAGACCCTCACCATTTCTTCTCTGTATAATGAGTGTACGTGCCAGAGGCAGGCGATATATCAAAATATTTTTTAAATGAGCCTTATTCATAGCTTTGCACTATTTCCAGTATCTTACCTCTTGCTTTTTGAACCGCTTGTTATTGTAACATGCTTCTGTGAGGAATTTGGGGCTATTCATCATTTGTTCCTGTCCGAGGAAGCAGGTTAGTTTGAGTTACAAACTTTGAGTTTTTTTTCAGTTGTTACAAATTTGACGAATGGTCAGCTTAAAAAGAATGTTATAAAAAAAGAAGTCCGGGAGGCTAATTCCTCCATCTCTGTGTTTCTTTCTCAAGATTGCCTAGGGGCAGGACAGGAATAAAGATGCAGACGTAGGGGATGGACTTGAGGACACGGGGAGGGGGAAGGGGAAGCTGGGACAAAGTAAGAAAGTGGCATGGACATATATACACTACCAAATGTAAAACAGATAGCTAGTGGGAAGCAGCCGCATAGCACAGGAAGATCAGCTCGGTGCTTTGTGACCACCTAGAGGGGTGGGATGGGGAGGGTGGGAGGGATACACCAGAGGGATATGGGGAAATATGTATATGTATAGCTGATTCACTATGTTATATAGCAGAAACTAACACACCATTGTAAAGCAATTATACTCCAATAAAGATGTTAAAAATAAAAGAATGTTATATTTGAATGTGAGACATTCTCAAATTCTTCTGATAAAAAAGCAAAACAAACGAACAAAAAACATAGTGCCCAGCTGGCAGTCAGTGGTCAGTCCTTACTGCACAAATACTGGGTCAGAGTCTGGAGGTGTTGGGACTCTGTTAGGCACTTGGCGGACAATCCCTTGGCCATATGGAGCTTCAGTCTTATAGGGGAAACTTCAGTCAATCATTACACAAACAAATGCATCATTACAGACTTTTGATAAATGCAGTCTTAGGGTAAGAAAGGTAGTGTTAAAAAACCATTTAACGAAGACTCTAATCTAATATGGAAGGGAGGCCTTCTCCAAGGAATGACATTTGTGCTGAGGTCTGGAGGTGAGATAGGAATTAACTCAGCAAAAGCAAAGGCTTCTGGCCGAAGATCGGGGACCACAGCTGGAGCACAGGGGACAACAGGGAAAATGATGCTGTAGGAAGCTGGAAAGGTAGGCCAGGGCTGGACCACACAAGGCTAGGTTGAGGCATTTTATATTCATCTTGAAATCAGTGGAGTGCCATTGTAATAGCTTTAAACAGGAGGATGATGTGGTCACAGCCAGTTTGTGGACAGTGGACTGAAAGGGAGCTGTCAGGAAGAAGGTAGGTACAGTGATTGATAGGAAGATTACAGTGGTTTGGATGAGGGCGGTGGCCCTGGAACCATAGAAAGGTGTAAGAGTGGAGACATAATAAAAAGGTAAAATCCACAGAACTGGGTGATGGATTCAATGTGGTGGTAAGGAAGAGGGGAGGGGGCCAGAGCTGTGATTTATAGGAATGGAGGGTTCCATTCGCTGCAAGATAATATGGGGAGAAGACCAGGTTTGTAGAGGGGAGAGGCAAGGAGGTCATGAGTTCTATTTTTTTTTTTAATTTTATTGAAGTGTAGTTGATTTACAATGTTGTGTTAATTTCTGCTGTACAGCAAAGTGATTCAGTATATAATTAGATATATACACACACACACATACATTCTTTTTCAGTATTCTTTTCCATTATAGTTTATCACAAGATATTGAATATAGCTCTCTGTGCTTTACAGGAAGACCTCGTTGTTTATCCATTCTCTAAATAATAGTTTGCATCTGCTAATCCCAAACTCCCAGTCCTTCCCTCCCCAACCCCCCTGTCCCTTGGCAACCACAAGTCTGTTCCGTGAGTTGTATTTTGAACATGATAGAGATGTATATAGTACCTTTGAGTCATTCAAGTGAAAATGCCAAGTAGGCCAGTGGATATGTGGGTCTGCATTTCAGAGGAGTGGTAGAAGTAATGATGTCAACTTAGGTTGCATTTGTCTTTAGATGGTAATTGAAGCCACGGGTGAGAGAGAAAGTGTGGAGTAAGAAGCAGCCTAGGGCTGAACCTTAAGGAACTCTTCATATTTTGTGTCCAGGTAGAAGAGAATGAGCCTGAAAAGGAGACTTAGAAATAGCCAGAGAGGTGAGGGGAGAAAGCCAGGAAGTCAAAGCCACAGAAACCCAAAGGTAGTATATCAAGAAGGAGGTGAGAGTTGACAAGCGTCCAATGGCACTAGCAGGTTCAATTAGATGAGGACTCTGGGAAATGCCACTGGATATGGAACGTGGAGGGCAATGGTGACCTTAACACAACAGTACCAGTAGTGTGGTGACAGGGAATACCTGACTAGGGGGAGTAGAGCACAGAGTGGAGTAGATGGTGAGGGAGGAGGCCAGTGAGTCTGCACACCACCATTAGAAAAATCTGGTTGTAAAAAGGGGAGAGAGGGCAGCAGCTCACACAGATAAAGGGTCAGTGTTCCTTTTTTGTTGTTGTTATGTTTTAAAATGGAAAATGTAGCACCTTTCAGCATAGAAGGGAAGAAATCTCTTGAGTAGGACAGACTGAACATGGAAGTAAAAGAAGGGCTACTTGAGAGCATTCAGAATAATAATAATATAGAAAAAATGCCAGGCTCCGCACAGACCCACCTTGAAATCGCTCTTCACTGCTATGAAGACTGCAGGAAGGTTTGTGCTAAGTTCTTGAGGAGCAGGTATTTTGAAAGAACATGGCTCTGTCATCGTCAACCTTAGACAGTGTTGTCTGATACTGTAGAAATCTGTGTCCTGATTCGTGTGCTTAGCTCATCTTTGTTTTTTTGCCAGGAGCTGATGAGGACGGAGAGAGTCCAGAGCTGACCACATCTCGACCCCTTCCAAAGATTCCGTTCACCATTGCTGCTCCGAGAGTGGAAACCACGACTCTGAACAAGATACAGAATAAGATCCCTGCTCAGACAAAGGTGTGTTTTGTTTTCCATTGTGTCCTCAGGTCATTGTAAATGTGCATTTTTTAAAAAATTGTACAGACTGTGCCTTTTTTTGTTTGTTTGTTTGTTTGCGGTACGCGGGCCTCTCACCGCTGTGGCCTCTCCCGTTGCGGAGCACAGGCTCTGGACGCGCAGGCTCAGCGGCCATGGCTGGCTCACGGGCCCAGCCGCTCCGCGGCATGTGGGATCTTCCCGGACCGGGGCACGAACCCGCGTCCCCTGCATCGGCAGGCGGACTCTCAACCACTGCGCCACCGGGGAAGCACCAGACTGTGCCTTTTGAGAGGTGCCCTTTAAAACTGTGTAAGGACAAATGGTCTTTTCATTGTATCGTAAATGGCTCTCCCTTACTCTTTATGATCGTTTTGACATTGGCCCACCTACTGCTTTTTTGTTCTTGCTGTTAGATAGACTTTGTTTTTCAGAGCAGGTTTAGGTTCACAGGCAATTGAGTGGGCAGTACGGAGAGTTCCCATAGACTCCCACACATGCACAGCCTCCTCCCATCAACATCCTGTGCCAGAGGAGTACACTTCTTACAACTGATGGACCTACACTGACAGATCACAGTCTCCCAGGGTCCAGAGTTTTACCTTAGGGTTCACTCATGGTGATGTACATCCTGTCAGTTCTGACAAATATATAATGGGCATGTACCCACCATTATTGTAGCCTACAGACTAGTTTCACTGTCCTACAATGCTCTATAGCCTACATAGTCATCCCTCCTGCCCCAGCCCCTAGAAACCACTCATCTTTTTACTGCCTCCATAGTTATGCCTTTCCCAAATGTTGCATAGTTAGAATCATGCAGTCTGTAGCCTTTTCAGATGGGCTTCTCTCACTTAGTAACATGCATTTACGGTTCTTCCACGTCTGTTCATGGCTTGATAGATAATTCTACCTAGTACTTTTATCACCCAGGCGTAGCTTATAAACAAATCTTTTTTACAGGGTACTCCTTCTTAAGGAACTCATAGCCCAGTTAAGAAGCAAAACCTTTTCAGTTTATTTGGCTTATGCTAAGAAAATTTGTTTCTATTTCGTAAAGAATTTGTTCTGAGTTAAAACCATTGTGAACTTTTACGTCTGCTGAAACAGGTTATGGACTGAGGAGGCTCCGGGTACTAGTCTCAATAAGTGTTTTCCCAGAGTTTTTTCAGGCCCACCTTCAGTGGTATGTAAACTCTGACGTCTTCCAATGATAATGATGAATGCGGGTACATCCCTATATTCATTCCAAGAGCTGACTTACTGAGAAATAAGGTCTTTGGCCTTAGAACAGAGCAAAGCTACTAGTTAATGGAAACTGTGACACCAGTGATTTTGGCCTTATTAGCATGCTGCTGCAACCAGCTGACTACCCACTACTAGGTAAGCTATTTAAGTTGGAAAATGCATATTAAAGTCTGAAGCAGGCCTAGGTTTCAAATCCTAGATCTAGTCAAGTTTCTTAGCTTCTCTGAGCGCATTCCTGATGGATCCTTGAGAAGGTTAAATGTGAGGGCATGCAGCGTGGCACCTGAGAGCCAGTAAGCCTTCATTGAATTTGGTTAGAGCAGGAGAGACCGAGGCAGTTGACCAAGTGAGGCTGTGGAGTGACAGCAGCAGGAAGCTTTGCAGGCGGCCTGGGGGTAGCATGCTGCTTATGAGAACTTGGAAACACAAGTGCCCCCTCTTGGAGCTCACCCGTCTGCTGGTTAGAAATGAGGTGCTGCTAAGCTTTAGCAGCAGACAGGCTGTGGAAGGCTGCGTCACGAAGGTTAGGGACGGGCCTTCTCCCGAGTAAGGCGCACCCCTCCGCAGGCCGGAACGCACGCAGGCTTCCTGCCCATTGAAGCTCCTCCCCTTCCCAGAATGCAGTTGTTCTTCCCCTCGCCAGCCGTCCTCCCGGTGCCTGGGCACGGGGTGGTGAGGGACAGGCTGGGTGGGTTTCTGCAGATGTGGAGCAGTCAGGTCAGCCCTCTCCAGACTGGAGTGCTGTTTGTCGGATGGAGAAGGGCTCGTTGCCGTTAGCACTACACTGACTTCGCAGGCCGCGCGATAGGAAAGGAGGAAGAAGCTCTGAGCGCTGAGGCAGACACACCTGGCTCCGTGCACGGTAGCTGCTCCAGAAATGGATTCGGTTCAGTGAGTGAAAGGAAGAAGAGGGAAGAGGGGCAATGAAAAGTAACAGGTGCAGCTGAGGGTAGGTCATCCAGTGTGGCTGCTGAAAGATGCATCTGGCTTCGTTTATTTGACCACTTGTCATAACCGAATCCCTTGAAGTCAAGAACCATTAGGGGGCTTCCCTGGTGGCGCGGTGGTTGAGAGTCCGCCTGCCCATGCAGGGGACACGGGTTCGTGCCCCGGTCCGGGAAGATCCCACATGCCGCAGAGCGGCTGGGCCCGCGGGCCGTGGCCGCTGAGCCTGCGCGTCCGGAGCCTGTGCTCCGCAACGGGAGAGGCCAC